AGTCCACAAAAAGTATACTGTATTCTTTTTCCTCTGTTCATTTTTCTCTTTTGATTTTCCCATTCGTTTCTGTGCTTTTCTGTTTTGTAATTTCATTTCCACGTTGATTTCTTATCATTTTGTTTTATTCTATGTCCGAGTGACACTTCATTATCTTAAGACCGCAAAAAATATCAATTACGATCATACCATCAATCTTTTATTTCCTAGATCTTTTTTTCTGGTACTCAAAACTTTTTTTTTAAACTTTTGTCTCTAGACTTTCTATTTAAAACACGTTTACTTGAATTGCAAGCAGACATATATCAATCTGTCATTGTATAAAGGAAGACAAGACCATATAAATAAGAACCTCGTCAAACAGTTTCCGCTGCTAGTAATGACCACTCCAAATTTTTCTTTCCGCTGGAGAATTCATTCATTAAAACAAAAAACCACCTTTCCAATCTTGTTTGAGAAGAACCAACAGATCTCATTATGGGTTTGAAGTTCTAGCACTTTTACTGCTGTGTTCTTTTTTTCATTTTCCATCGTGGATGTCAACGAAGAATTGATGATGTTACATTAATGCACAACTCTTTTAAACTCGCTGTTTATGCAGTGTCTTTTCAAAAACGTTTTGAGAATACTGAATATTATATAGTGAAAAGCAACTCGAGTCATTGCTGTAAACTGTATCACAAAACCAACATGTTTTACCTATTGAAGCAAATGCATATCTTTTTGCATAAAAACAGAATTATTTTCTTTATCATTGCGTAGTGAATTGCAGCTCGATTTATCGTGGTAAATTATAGCGAGAACCAACATGTTTTACCTATTGGAGCCAATGCATAATGAATGGAAAAATAAGTGCAATGTCATGCCACACAAATATATCTCACCTCCTCGAATCCCTGGGTCGCATTGACGCGGATTTTAAGCTAATATGAAAAGCTTTTCACAAGTGTAGGTCATGCACCGGTTATGAAATTATACAGTGCGAAAGGCAAAAGCGATAGAGAAGGAATTAAAGCAAGATTAAACATGAAAATAAGAGATAAAAGGTATTTTAGATTACTAGAATGGCTTTCGTTCAAGTACAGTTCCGTTGGATAACCTTTGGACACTATTAGTACGTTATAGCTATTTTGCTAGCCTGATATTTCACCTCAAGATGAACAGATAGAAGCCAGTTTACGATTCTCTTCCTTGAATATTGTTTCTTTCTTCGCCTGTAGTTGCTCGAGATAATAGGGATAGTATAGCATTGCACCTCACCTATTTTCCTTTCGTATTTAATTTTTTTTAAATTTTCTTGCGCTTCGGAGTCGCACATCTTCAAAAGAAAAGAAAAAAGAAAAAGAAAGAAAGAAAAGAAAAAAGAAAAAACCCTCAAATTTTTTTTAACCCCTTAAACTGTACTACCACTACACCACCCTTGATTCACTCATGTATGTGATGTTGAGTCTAGGAATCACACCCTAGACCCCAGAGGTGAGAGGTGAGTG